CCCGCTCGCCCCGGAGCTGAAGAACGAACCCAGGGCCTTGCGCCTATCACTGAGCTAAATCATCAACCCCTTTTTTGGTCTTTTTGTGACAGGGTCTCCCTGTAGCCCCAGCTGACGTGGAACTCACCATGTAGACCAGGCTGGCCTTGAACTCACATAGATACGCCTGCTTCTGCCTCCAGGGTGCTGGGACTAAAGGAGTACACCACCATGCCCAGCGTTTATTTATTATATTTATTTTATGTGTATGAGTGTATTGCCTGCATGTAAGTGCATCCGTATCATGCAATGCCCACGGAGGTCAGAGGAGGGCGTCGGGTCCCCAGGAACTGGAATTATGACGGTTGTTAGCTGCCATGTGGGTGCTGGGATTCAAACCCAGGTCCTCTACAAGAGCAGTGCTCTTACCTGCTGAGCCAGCTCTCCAGCCCCAAACCTCCAATCTTTGGGCCCTCTTCACGCAGCTAAGAAGACACCAGGGCTGGGATGTCCCTCTGACCACAAAACACCGGTTCAGCGAGACCAAGGCACAGTACCGGGGCTGGCCCGGCCTGGAGCAGAGCGACCCGCTCTTCGTGGAGCCCCAGCGCCCGGAGCTCGCAGACCACCACCGCGGGGGTCCTTCCCAGGTAGCGTGGAGTCAGCGCGGGGCGGGAGGTAGGGGGGACAGGCTGCCCGAGCCAGTTAGGGACCAGACACCGAGTCGCTGGGGGCGGGGTCTGAAGTGTGCACTTGTGGGGTGTAGCTCAAAGGAGGGTCCGGAGACTCGGTGCTCCCAAGGACTGCACTAGAATAATGAGAGGGGTCGGCACGGCAGATGAAACTAGGTGTACCTGGAGGAAAACCTCAGGTGGGACTCGAATCCACGGACGGAGCTGGAAAGGGTATGTTCGAGGGTGAGGGGCGGTGTGCCAGCCCGAGTTCAATCCAGCAAGTGTTTGGATTGGGGCATGGGGCTCCTAAGGACTGACTTGGGGTGCCGCCCAGTGTGGGAGGCCTAGGAGCAGGCGCACAGCCTCTTGTGTTGATCATCCTCCAACCCCTCAGGCCCTGACTCCCTGGACCAGGAACCCGGAGCTGGCCGGCTGGCCCTTCACGGTGTGCGAGGCGGGTGCCCTGGCCCACCTCCAGCCCTATCTGACCACCTCCGCCCGTGACTTCCGCTTCTACCAGAGGTGAGCCCGGGTACCCCCGGATACGCCTCTCCAAGTCGGCGGAAGCGGGTTTCCAGGCAGGCACCAGGGAACCTCAAGGACCCGGAATCCGGGCTCCGCGTGCCCTTCTCAGCGGTCCTCGCACCCTAATGCAGGTACTGGAGTCTGCGGGCTCCCCGGTCCTGAGGACCCAGGCACCCCTTTCCTGCCCCCCAGGAAGGAACTGTCCGGGTTCCAGGAAGTGGTGACGTGCTGGGGCTCGCTAATGAAGCCCCAGGCTGGCGGCCATGGGCAGTACCCGGAGCCCTCGAGGGTGCGCTTGGGCCGCGCGCGCGAGGTGCAGCCAGCCGTTCCGTACCGCGGAGCTCTCCCCTGACCCGGGAGTCCTACGGGTCTCCGCTGCACCCACTTCGCAGGCTGGATCGCTTCTGTCCCCTGCCTGGCATCTACAGTGTGCCCAAGGCCTACAGCACTGAAAGCTCCCGCTACGGGAGTGCCCGGCGTGGAGCTGGTGGGAGCCAGACCGGACTGGGCGGGGCCACTCCCGCACACCCCACTGCCTGCAGGGGAACGGCCCCAGGGGGTTGGGCTTGCCACCCTGGAGTTAAATAGTCTAAACCACCCCGTTTCTGGAGCCCGCCCCCAGAACCTGATTGGGGTTTAGGTGTGGGGTGGTGCTCTGGTTGGAGGTATCTGGGAGTACTCATTTGGAGGCCCAGGTAAAATCTAGCCCCAAAGCCTGACACTCTGGCACAAGACCCCCCATCCTTCAGCGCCCTGATTAGCTGCCTCTAGCCCCTCCCAGGAGGGGATGAAGGGCCGAGCGGCCTGGCTGGCACTCCAGTCTGGGCCAGGCTCAGACACCACCCTGCCATGGCTTCCTGACCTTGTCAGTCTATCGCCCCCAGAGAGATTAGTGTCTAGGTTACCCCACCAGCAGCCACCGCTTGTTGGCCTTGCCACCCCCACAGCCCATAGGTATAAAGCCAGGTGGCCAAGGTAGGGGAGGCATCGAGGATGGAGAGGCTCCAGGTAAGACTGTAGGGCCCTAGGCACCTCCCCAACTCCACCAAGCCCTAAATGGCACAGGCTGGCTGTGTGGCCTGGTAGGTCTCCTAGCCAGCATACTTTCTGCAGGACAGAATGTAGTATTGAGGGTGGATATTCAGCCACTGGCAATTGGGGGTGCCCTGGACTGGGGGTGGGACCTGAAGACCGGGATTTGCACCTAGCTGGTTCAGAATGAAGGCTTGGGGCAGCCCAGTCCTCTCCCTGGGAGGGAAAACTGAGGCACTGGCTGTCCCAGGGGCTGCTGCTGTGGCTGCTGCTGAGCTCCGGTGCAGTGCAGGCCTCCAGGGGCCCCCTGCGGCCACTGTGCCGGCCAGTCAATGCCACCCTGGCTGCAGAGAACGAGGCCTGCCCTGTCTGCATCACCTTCACCACCAGCATCTGTGCTGGCTACTGCCCCAGCATGGTGAGCCAACCACATGAGCAGGGACCCCATTTTGCCCTAAATGCTGCCACCTCAGTGCCAGACCCAGGGTGGGTGCAGCAGAGGGCAGCTGAGGCAGAGGGTGGCACCTGGGCAGGAGCTCAAGGCTGGTGTTGGGTGGACATTTAAATAGCCCAGAGCCTGGGGGGCGGGTGCTCAGATAAACATTGCTTCCCCACTCGGCTCTAGGTACGGGTGTTGCCAGCTGCCCTGCCCCCAGTGCCCCAGCCTGTGTGCACCTACCGAGAGCTGCGCTTCGCCTCTATCCGCCTCCCTGGCTGCCCACCTGGTGTAGACCCCATGGTCTCCTTCCCAGTGGCCCTCAGCTGCCGCTGTGGGCCCTGTCGCCTCAGCAGTTCTGACTGTGGGGGTCCCAGGGCTCAACCCTTGGCCTGTGACATCCCCCACCTCCCCAGCCTCCTCTTTCTCTGAGGACATCCCGAAGACCCTCCCCCATCTTCTGGAGCTGGCAGGTGCTCCAACCCTCCCTCCCAATAAAGGCTTCACAACTGGTATCCCAGTGTCCTCCTGTGCAGAAGCTCCAGGGACACACAGGGCTCCAGTTTCCAATAATTTTATATAAAGTCACAGTGTCACAACTCGTAGAAAACGGGGTGGGGAGGCAAGGGTGGGGTGACATCTCAGGAGGTATCCATCGTTTCACCTTCTGTGGAAAAGGAAAGTCCGGGTCAGTGAGGCACAGGGGCAGGCCTGGGTACTCCCCACTGCACCCACTGTCCCGATGGTAGTGGGCTGGGAGGGCTAGAAGGGACTCACTGAGCTCATTGAAGAGGAAGGCATCCTGGTACTCCTTCATGTACTGTGTGGAGCGAGACTCATCCAGGAAGAGTGAGTAGACCCTCTTGATGTCGTCCACTTGCACCTCTGTGCCCTGGAGGCAGATGAACAAGGCTCAGACCACCGAGGGGCCATGGATGCCCCCTGCCCACCCTCAGCTTCTTCCTATAAGATGGCCCAGTGTCTGCTGTGGTCTCAGACCCATACAGGAGGAAATGCCCAGGCCCCCTGGCCACCCCAGGGCTGTCCCCAGCACCCTAGCTAACTTGCTGGCTGACCTTTCGCTTACGGCACACCAGGCTGGCCGCTGTGATGAGCTGAATGGCGTAGCGCAGGGAGGTCTCCAGCCCGATACGTGTCAGCACCGTGTAGGCATCCTCGCTCATCTCCACGTCCTCCTCCTCACATCTGCAGGCAGGCAGTCCTCAGCCAGGCAGGGGTGGCATAGCACCCCACCCATTCCCATGGCATACGTGGTGAACAGAATCTCAAAACCACAGATTCGGAGGCTACAAGGGCCACAGAGGGCTCTCTCCCCACTGCTGGGCTGCCCCTCTGGCCCTCCCACCCTGCCTCAGTGTCCCCCTCAGGGCTGGGCTGCCGAACCGGATGCGCAGGATCTGCTTGGTGTCTTTTTCACTGTAGGGGGAGGTGGACACGATGAGTAGGCGGTCCAGCAGGTCAATGGGGATGCCGTGGGGGCTCTGGTAGCTGGTACCTCGGATCCTAGTGGTCAGGAGGGCTTGTCAAGGGACGCTCCCAGAACCCAGCTCTGCATTCCCAACACCCATCCATACTGGCCCTCACAACCCACTCAGATACAGTTCTGCTCAGCACATACACCAGGCTCCATGTGCGGGCCAGTGGCTGTCCTGTCTCCTACTGCCCCAGGCATGCCCAGCCAGTTCTTAGCAGGTGACAGGACCCACAGCAGTTTACTCCAGTCATAGGAGCTTAGCACCAATGCAAGGACACTGCTCTCCTGTGAGCTGCCAACCTCCAACCCAGCACTCTCACAGTGCAGTCTCCCTGTGTGTGTAGGAATGCCAGGCTGCATGTCAGCACTATGGGGGACTTTTCAACTCAAACTACCCCCCAAGATGACATACAGGGCACTACATGAGGTGACATGACAGAAGATGGCTGTGTTTATAGCCTGAGGACTGAAATGCAGGCAGAGGGAAGTCCTGGCAGCCCCAGGAGGAGTCTGGGTGTCAAGGAAAGGGCTGGCACACTGGTGGGGTGGCAGGGACCCTCAGCAGGCAGAGGGCTTCCAGGCGGGGCCTCTCAGGCAGTCCTCTTGGGAGGTGCCCCAGGGAGTCTCCATGTCCAGGTCTGTGGCTGCCTCTCTGCCCACCCTGCCATCTTCAGACCTTGGTTACTCCTTCCAGTGTAGGCACACAGGCTTCATCAAGCAGGCTGCCTGCATCTCACATTTTTCCCATGGCATCATCCCCTCCCTATGGTTACAGCTGGCCTAGAACTCAAACTCTTCCTGCTTCAGGCTCCCGAGGACCAGGACTAGTAGTGAGGGCCACCATGCTAGTCCTTCCTCCACAGTATCTTTAGGTCAAAACGACTGGGTTCTGGTGACGCAAGTGGCCAGGCCTAAGTGGCCTATTGCAGCAGGCTGTGGCAAACAGGCCACTACGCTCAGCACCTGGTGACTTTTGGAGGGCACCCTCAGGTGCTGTGGCTCAGCTGTGACCTGCTGCCTGAGCAGAACTGTCCACTTGCCGTGGATGGCCGTACATCATGCTGAAGGAGGCCCTAGGTTACCACCATGGCACTCAGCAGACAGTCCTGTTTCCCCGCAGCCACCTCCACCCCCGGCTCATGGCACCCTTTCCCCAGAGGCCTCTTAGCCACTTACCGGGTGATGCCTCGGTTGGTGGCCATGATGAGGACGGGTGCCATATCGCTCTCCAGGGCCCGGTTGAGGAAAGAGAAGCTCTCAATGTCCAGCATGTGGACCTCGTCAATGAACAGCACCTGGTAGTCATTGGGGCACAGATCAAGTCCACTCCCACCCCTTTCCCCGGGTCCACAAAGTCCCCACCTCCAGGCCTGAACACTCACCCCAGGGATGATCTCCGCCTTGCCCTCCTCCCGCCACTCGGCTACCTTGGCATTGATCTGCTCTCGGACTTCTGACTTGATCTCCCCTGTGTCACCTGCAGGGGATAGGGCAGCATCAGGGGCGCTGGAGACAGGGTCCAGGATGCAAGGGTGGGGGGACACAGAAAGACTCGTGCCAGGGAGCAAGGCTGAGGTGCTAAAGCAGCAGGGCAATGGTGAGGAGAGAGAGAGAGAGAGGGAGAGGGAGAGGGAGGGCACGTGCATGCAAGCGGGGCTGTACCAGGGTAGAGAGAGAGGGGAGGGGGATGGGGTCACAATGAGAAGGGTGCACAGGAGATGGGGACTGGTCGGAAAGGACATCTGACCTGAGAAGAGGGCCAGGAAGCCCTGGGTACGTGAGTTGATGACATCAATCTCATGGAGGGACACTGTGTGTACCACCTCCTTACGCTTCTGCAGCTCCCCATCTGGGCACTGAACGAATTTCGTCTACAAGGCCAAGGGCAGATGTGAAGGCGTGGGCACCAAGGCTCCACCCAGGGGGTCCCATGCCAGCGAGGGGTTGGAGCACACACCTGGGAGCCCATGGCATCATAGTCACGAGCGCGTGTGAAGGAGCGACCAAGTTTGGAGATCTTGCCTGTGGCCTTGTCGATGGTGATGACGTCCCTGCAGGTGAACCATGGGCAGGATTGAGACCCTAGCCCCCTCACTGTCCCAGCCACCCACATGGACCTGGTACTCACCCGGCCTGGACCTTGTCCTTGGTCAGAGACTCAATCATCTTGGTGCCCAGGTCATAGATGGTCTCCATCTCTGTGGTCTTCAGGGTCAGCTTGCCCACCTTGGAGCCCTGAGGGAAGCACACCAGGGAAGGCTCAGGGGATCCTCAAGGCCCCTGACCCCACTGTGTACACAGCTTCAAAAAATGTGGAGACAGCCTTGGGGGATATGCAGGAGTGGGGACTTGGGTTGTACACTCTCGATGTGCAGATGCTGTGTCAACTGTGGCTCAGGAAAGCTGTTCATGGCAACAGTGACACAGACTGAGTCCACCCAAGACAGCACAGGCCTGAGGGCCCACAAAAGGCCCAAGAGGGTGGGGGTACATGATAACACCCCTCTCCACACTCATAGTACTGGGGATGGAACACAGTACTCTAACCCCAAGCCATATCCAAGCCCCTTAACTCATGGATTTGGGGCAGGCAGGCACTCTACCAATAAGCTACATCCCTGGCTCTGCCTTATTTTTAGTTTTTTAAAAAAAATTGGGGCTGGAGAGATGGCTCAGTGGTTAAGAACACTGACTGCTCTTGCAGAAGACCGGGGTTCAATTCCCAGCACCCCGATGGCAGCTAACAATTGTTCAGGGGATCCAACAGCCTCTTCTGTCATCCATGGGCATTGCACGACACGGGTGCACTTACCTACATGCAGGCAATACACGCATACACATAAAATAAAAATATTTAAAAATTCAGCCGGTGCTCTTAACTGCTGAACCGTCTCTCCAGTCCTCTTTATTTACTTAAAAAAAAAATTATTATTTTTATTTTATGTGTATGAGTGTATTGCCTGCATGTATGTGAGTGCACCCGTGTCATGCAATGCTGTGGAGGTCAGAAGAGGGCTTCGGATTCCCCTGGAACTCGAGTTAAGGATGGTTTGTAGCCGCCCTGTGGGTGCTGGGAATCGAACCTGGGTCCTCTGCAAGAGCAGTCAGTGCTCTTAACTGCTGAGCCATCTCTTCAGCCCCATATTTACTTTTTTTTGAGACAAGGTCTTACTATGCAGCCCTGGCTGGCCTGGAACTCACAAGGTACACCCACTCCTGCCTCTGCTTCCAGAGTGCTGTGATTAAACAGCTATTCATACTGTAGGGAGGGGGGCAGGAATACATGCTTGGATGTGTAAGAGGAGGAAGTTTGAGTTTATTTTATTGTATTTTTTTGCTTTATGTGTATGCATGTATTGCATGCATGTATGCAAATATACCTGTGTTGTGCAGTGCTGAAAGAGGACAGAAGAGGATGTTGGATCCTCTGGAATTAAAGTTAGGACAGTCATTAGCCACCATGGGATGCTCTTAATTGTTGAGCCATCACTCCAAAGATTTTATTTTATTTTTTGTCTTTTTGAGACAGGGTCTCCCTGAAGCCCCAGCTGTCCCAGAACTCACTATGTAGACCAGGCTGGCCTTGAACTCACAGAGATCTGCCTGCTTCTGCCTCCCAAATGCTGGGATTAAAGGTGTGTGCTACCACACCTGGCCCAGATTTTATTTTTTAATTACACATATGTGTCTGTGTGTGTCTGTGCATTCCAGAGCCTTCAGAGGCCAGAAGAGGACACTGGAACCTCTAGAGCTGGAATTACAGGTGGTTATGATCCACCTTATGTGGGAACTAGGAACATACTTTGGTCCTTTGGAAGAATGTGGTCTTAACAGCAGAGCCATCTGTCTAGTCTCAGGAATATATGTATATGTATGTATATATATATATATATGTATATACATATATATTTTTTATTTTTTTTTGGTATTTTTGAGACACGGTCTCTCTGTAGCCCCAGCTGTCCTGGAACTCACTATGTAGACCAGGTTGGCCTTGAACTCACAGAGCTCCGCCTGCCTCTGCTTCCCAAGTGCTGGAACTAAAGGTGTGTGCCACCACGCCTGGCTCAGGATTATATTTTTATGGCTCAGGCATCTAGACAAGTGGTTTGCACTGAGCCTCTGCCTGTTTGACTGGTGATTGTGTAGGCATCTGCACCACAGCACATGAAAGTTAAAGGACAAATTGGAGGAGTCGGTTCTCTCCTTCAATCATCTTCCATCATGTGGGTCCCAGGGATCAAACTCAGGTCATCAGGCTTGGTAGCAAGTGCCCCACTGGGCCATCTTGCTGGCTCTGGGATGATACTTTTATAGGAGGGATATATTTATGGATTTTTGTGTGTGTGTGAAAAAAACTTAACTTGGGGCTGGACAGATGGCTCAGCAGATAAGATCACTTGCTGCTCTTTCAAAGGAACCAAGTTCAGTTTCAAGTACCCACATCAAGTTGCTCACAGCCACCAGCTCCAACAGATCAATGCCCTCTTCTGGCCTCCGAATGCTCCTGCATGCATGTATATACATACACGCACATACACACAGACAAGCATGCATAAATATATTAAATTCCTTTATCCCATAAATATTCTTACCATATTTGTAAGATCCAAAACCTAATTGCCAATAGATGGAACTAATTTAGAAGGCTATTTACAATTATTACAACTGTTGGACTGTTGGTCAGTGCAGTTCTACATCCTAAATTCACTTCCATTAACGATGAGGAACAAGCTGGGTGTGGTTGCGCACACATATAGTATCAGCTTGTGGGGAGTGGGTAGAGGACCACAAGCCAGTGTAGGCTGCACTTCAAGACTGCCTCTTAAAAAAATAACATAAGGCTGTCTCAGGCCGGGCATGGTGGTGCACGCCTTTAATCCCAGCACTTGGGAGGCAGAGGCAAGCGGATCCCTGATGTCTGTGAGTTCAAGGCCAGCCTGGTCTACATAGTGAGTTCCAGGCCAGCTGGGGCAACAGGGAGACCCTGTCTCTAAAAGACCAATAAATAAATAAATAAATAAATAATAAATGATTGTCTCAAAACACAAACAAACCAGGTATGTTGCTTCATACTGTAATCCTAGCACTCAGGAAGCTGAAGCAGTAAAATTGCTTTGACTTTGAGGTCAGCCTGGGGCATAATGTGAAACCCTATCTCCTCAGCACTCAGGAGATGGAGGTAAGATCAGAAATTCAAAGCCATCCATGACTATATAACAAGTTTGAGATCGGTCTAGGCTAGGAGACCCTGTATCAAAAAATTTAGAAAATTAAATTTAAGAAGTGGGTAGAGAGCTAGAGCAATGGCTCAGTGGATAAGAGTACCAAGTCTAGGGGGCTGGAGAGATGGCTCAGCAGTTAAGAACACTGACTGTTCTTGCAGAAGACCCGGGTTCGAATCTCAGCACCCACATGGCAGCTAACAACTGTCTGTAATTCTAGTTCCGGGGCTCCTAGAGCCTCTTCTGTCCTCCACAGGCACTGCACGCCACTGGCGAAATACATGCAGG